ACAAGGGTTTTGCCACCATGTACTAAGTCATGTTTTGCAGAGGGGTCAAATACTTATTTCCCTCATTAAAATGTAAATCAATTTATAACATTTTTGACATGCGTTTTTCTGGATTTTTTTGTTGTTATTCTGTCTCTCACTGTTCAAATAAACCTACCATTAAAATGATAGACTGATCATGTCTTTGTCAGTGGGCAAATGTACAAAATCAGCAGGGGATCAAATACTTTTTTCCCTCACTGTACACCCTAGAACCAACAGACAGATAGACAGACCACCGCTGTGGACCACCTGTGTGGATGGTTTAGCCCTCTCTCCTCTCCAGGGGTCCACACCCTGGTCCTAATGGGGGGGTCCACACTCTGGCCCTAATGGGTGGGTCCACATCCTGGTCCTGGGGGGCTGTCAGGGGGGTGGGGGATCAGAGGGGGCCAGGGGGGTCTCTGCGCTGGTGGCCCCAGAGGGGAGCGGTTGGTTGGGGCTCTGGGAAGCTGGCCCCCTACCAGATACACACTCAGGCCAGCTGAGGTGTATGTGATTTACAGTGTGTGTGAGTGGATTGATCCAGGGCTAATAGCGTGGCCGGTGAGCAGCCCTCCATGACTCTGCTCTCTGCTCCTGTGGACAGCTCATTATTTTATTATTTTTAGTCACTTATTTAATCATGGGAGCCCAATTGAGACCAGGGTCTAATTTTTAATGGTGCTCTGACATAAAATAAAAGATACAACTACAAGATACAAGATAGAATAACCAGTACATTGCATTAGAACATCATAAACAAATTATTAGTCAATCAAAACAATTGCACACCTCGGTGAACTCATTTTATCATCAGGGTTTTAAAATGCCCTAGTGGCACCAGGGAATCCAAATGTAATGAATTTTGTAAGTAATTCCAAAATTGTGGAGCGTTAAAACTAAAAGCGGATTTACCTAGTTCGGTGGAGACCCGAGGAATCGCAAGAGTTAACCAACCCCGTGAACGTGTTTGGTATCTCATGTTTTTATACTTTAACAACAAAGGTAAGTCAGAAGCTTGTATAGTAGAGCTTTGTAAACAAAAAGGGAGTAATGAAGTGATCTACGGGACTTTAATGAGGACCAGCCAACATTTTGATACAGGATCCAGGGATGTGTATTAAAACAATCACCTGTGATAAAGCGAAGGACACTATGGTAGACGGCATCCAAATGTTTAAGAGTAGTTGCTGCTGCATTCTGGTAAATGGTGTCACCGTAGTTAAGAACTGGCAGGAAAGTTGACTGTACAATCTGCTTCCTGCTGTTTCTGGAGAGGCGTAAAGAACTGGCAGGAGAGTTACCTGTACAATCTGCTTCCTGCTGTTTAGGGAGAGACATGATCTACAGTGGGGGAAAAAAGTATTTAGTCAGCCACCAATTGTGCAAGTTCTCCCACTTAAAAAGATGAGAGAGGCCTGTAATTTTCATCATAGGTACACGTCAACTATGACAGACAAATTGAGGGAAAAAAATCCAGAAAATCACATTGTAGGATTTTTTATGAATTTATTTGCAAATTATGGTGGAAAATAAGTATTTGGTCACCTACAAACAAGCAAGATTTCTGGCTCTCACAGACAAGGGCAAAGGGACCAGGACGACTGATCCGTGTAAAGGAAATAATGAATTGGGCCATGCATCGTGAGATTTTGAGTGAAAACCTCCTTCCATCAGCAAGGGCATTGAAGATGAAACGTTGCTGGGTCTTTCAGCATGACAATGATCCCAAACACACCGCCCGGGCAACAAAGGAGTGGCTTCGTAAGAAGCATTTCAAGGTCCTGGAGTGGCCTAGCCAGTCTCCAGATCTCAACCCCATAGAAAATCTTTGGAGGGAGTTGAAAGTCCGTGTTGCCCAGCGACAGCCCCAAAACATCACTGCTCTAGAGGAGATCTGCATGGAGGAATGGGCCAAAATACCAGCAACAGTGTGTGAAAACCTTGTGAAGACTTACAGAAAACGTTTGACCTGTGTCATTGCCAACAAAGGGTATATAACAAAGTATTGAGAAACTTTTGTTATTGACCAAATACTTATTTTCCACCATCATTTGCAAATAAATTCATTAAAAATCCTACAATGTGATTTTCTGGAGAAAAAAATTATCATTTTGTCTGTCATAGTTGACGTGTACCTATGATGAAAATTACAGGCCTCTCTCATCTTTTTAAGTGGGAGAACTTGCACAATTGGTGGCTGACTAAATACTTTTTTCCCCACTGTATTTCTATAAAATAAGCCTACTTTAAATCTCAGCTTCTTAACTAGCTCATCCGTATGTTTTTTAAATGTCAAATTATTATCAATCCATGAGGGGGTGGATTTTTTGACCACTTTCCAGAATTTAGCTGGATTTCCACCACTCTCAGATACACAATTCAAGAAGTATGTTGACTTTGCTTTTCGAACCAGAGTAAGACATCTGTTTCTCAAATGTCTGAAGGACTGCCAGTCAGAGGTAGAATCAGTCAATCTAGCCTTAGCCCAAGCTAACTTTCTTTCATGAAATCTTTAAGACAATTCATGCATGAACCATGGGTTAGATCTGTCTTTTACCCTTAATCTCTTATATGGGGCATGGTTATCTGCAACAGAGTTAAACAGAGAGGTAAAACATTTAAGTGCCTACCCCACATACACCCACCCTACCCCACATACACCCACCCTACCCCATATACCCCGCTCTCCCAGCTTTTGACAGGAGGGGAATAATGCATTCATTAATGTGTCTTTCTAGTTTTATGTCTCCGAGCGGGTGGGAGAGGAGAGGTGTGCGGTCCTTTTCACAGTGGGTAAATCACAGTTAATGAAACACTCAGTCTCAGCGAGTGGAGCTCTGAGAGAAACCCTACCTACCTCCCTCCAGACCGCTGAGGTTGAGGTTTGGACCACTACAATATATTACCTGGTGGGAGACCACAAGCAAACACTGCCACTGCACTGCCATGCACTAGTGTAGCCCTAGTGCCCAGAAAAGGGGACGCAGTCCAATTGGCACCCTATTCCCTGTTTAGTGCATTTACTTTTGACCAGGGCCCATAGAGCTCTGGGCCCGTATCCACAAAGCATCTCAGAAAAGATCCTAGGAATCCTGTTAAAACCTGTTTTATGACTAAAAATACTCCCAGCTCAGAGTAGGTTTTAGGATGATGTTAAGACACTGCCCAGACAAGCTCTGAGCCAGGAGTAAAATCAACTCCTAAAAGTTGGTAATCACGACAGTTTGAGGTACCGCTAAGGAAAGATAGTGATGACGCATGCTGTTGCATGTAGGTCTAGATTATTTATGGATTCATCGTACAGAAATGCGGGAACCAACTGACTCGCTGCCTTTTCATCTATCAACAAGACACCTACAGTGCTTTCAGAAAGTATTCAGACCCCTTCAGTTGTTCCACATTTTGTTACATTACAGCCTTATTCTAAAATGGATGAAATGCATTTTTTTCCCTCATCAATCTACACACATTACCCCATAATGATAAAGCGAAAACAGGTTTTTAGAAATGTTAGCAAATGTATTAAAAATAAAAAACAGAAATACCTTATTTACATAAGAATTCAGACCCTTTACTCAGTACTTTGTTGAAGCACCTTTGGCAGCGATTACAGCCTCGAAACTTCTGCCTTCTTGAAGGCCAACGGGTCACTGCGCAATAGCTAGCAGTAGTTTTCCCCCGGTCTAGCTAGCTAGCTTTTGTTGTCGGCTAGTTTGCAGCGGCTGCAGCAGGTGTTATCAAATGAATAGTGGTAGTATAGTGGTAGTATCATCTCCATTCTCTCTTAATGGAGAGGTGTTCTTAATTTACAGCTCCAGGCTACATGGACAGCCTCATTTCACATCTACAGTAACAGCATTGGGCTGGACCTTGGTGATGTGCTATGTTTGCTTTCAGTTCCAAAGCTGAATATGACAGCTCCAAAGCTGAATATGACAGCTCCAAAGCTGAATATGATAGCTCCAAAGCTGAATATGACAGCTCCAAAGCTGAATATGACAGCTCCAAAGCTGAATATGACAGCTCCAAAGCTGAATATGACAGCTCCAAAGCTGAATATGACAGCTCCACAGCTGAATATGACAGCTCCAAAGCTGAATATGATAGCTCCAAAGCTGAATATGACCGCTCCAACGCTGAATATGATAGCTCCAAAGCTGAATATGACAGCTCCAAAGCTGAATATGACAGCTCCAAAGCTGAATATGACAGCTCCAAAGCTGAATATGGGTCGTAGAAGAGCCTACTTGAGTAACTGGGATATTTTTTTCCTACTAAACAACATAGGCCTAGTTGAATGCACTGTCTGTAAGTTGCTCTGGATACGAGTGTCTGCCAAACACTTTAGCCTACGCTGAATGAACATAAAGGCAAGCGTTAACATTTTTTTACATTTTAGTCATTTAGCAGACGCTCTTATCCAGAGCGACTTACAGGAGCAATTAGGGTTAAGTGCCTTGCTCAAGGGCACATTTACGTCATTTAGCAGACGCTCTTATCCAGAGCGACTACAAATTGGTGCATTCACCCTATAGCCAGTGGGATAACCACTTTACAATTATACTTTTTTTTTTGGGGGGGGGGGGGGGGGGGGTAGAAGGATTACTTTATCCTATCCCAGGTGTTCCTTAAAGAGGTGGGGTTTCAAATGTCTCCGGAAGGTGGTGAGTGACTCCGCTGTCCTGGCGTCGTGAGGGAGCTTGTTCCACCATTGGGGTGCCAGAGCAGCGAACAGCTTTGACTGGGCTGAGCGGGAACTATGCTTCCGCAGAGGAAGGGGAGCCAGCAGGCCAGAGGTGGATGAACGCAATGCCCTCGCCTGGGTGTAGGGACTGATCAGAGCCTGAAGGTACGGAGGTGCCGTTCCCCTCACTGCTCCATAGGCAAGCACCATGGTCTTGTAACGGATGTTAAGAGACCTATAGCTATAGCCTAGCCTATAGACCTATAGGATGCATTAGAGGAGGGATGGAATCATGGCAGTGAAGACTGGTGGTGCATCTGTCAGCCATTACCCCAGCACGGCTTCAACGTGTGTGTATGTGAACACTGTGTGTGTGTGTGTGTGTGTGTGTGTGTGTTTGTGTGTGTGTGCATGCGAGCGTCCATCAGTGTGTAAGAGGGAGCCTTGTACGCTTGCCACTATGTCCATCCACACACACCCCAAATCCTCTGACCAGACCCACTGTCCACTTTCACCATTCTGCACACACAGACCGCAGGACCTAAGATGGGAAGATGGGCAAAGGTACGAGGGTGTGTTTTGGTGCACATAACACGTACCTAGCTACTGTTGTCCATGGACAACATTGGGCCCCGTAGAATTACATAAGGAACACTTAATTGAATAAGATCTCTATGTTGGGCCCACCCAAAGTGAACGCTCTCCGGAAAAGCTGCAGAAGTCGTTTTTATGAGGGGTTACAGGTCAGATCTAGTGTGAATCTGGGGCAACACCTCAGTGGGAGAGCTTTGAAGATGTTCACGGAGGTGCTTCAGAACAAAGTGCTTCTGCTTTATATGAATAAATCAGTGTGACCTCAGGCGGATACCAGGGTGTATTTTGGGACACAACACAACACGTTGCTACTTGCTTTCCTCTTCTACTTGACCATGTGATTTAAAGACCCTCAAACTGCACTTAGCGTTATCTATTTATTAGATTTGCTAGATTTGCATACACAGTGTCATTATATTGATACACTGTGATTGTCTGAATCAGGTTGTTTAGTGCTGGGCTGGAATAAAAGGCTGCCTCAGTAGTGGCTCTCCAGACCAGAGCTGTAGTTTTGAAGAACCCTTCCCCTAAAGGCTGTGGTTGCTTTTCTGCGTCCCAAATGGCCTAGGCTGAGCCCTACGGGCCCTGGTCAAATGTAATGCACTATATACTGAATAGAGTGCCATTTGGGATATAACCTTTGACCCTTGGGGCCACATGCTGCCAGTGTTTCTCTTCATGGCCACAGGGGGGCAGCACTTTCCCATAGCCCAGGCCAGACCAGGCAGAGGCAGGCACTAGGTAGGCAGGCACAGCTGGTGAGTGGCAGACACGGGGTGGGTTTATGGGGCATCTCCGCACTCCCACATGGCATCGCAGTGGGGAGGCTGTTTGAAGTTGGGCCTGGTTCACCTCAGGGTGTGACGGGAGGGAGAGAGAGATGGAGGGAGGGAGGGAGGGAGAGAGGGAGGGAGAGAGGTAAGGATGGAGGGAGAGAGGCTGTCCGTTGTTTGGCAGCACTGCAGAGCCGAGCCAAACGTCTGGAGCACAGCATGGGAAAGCACAGTGTGTGGAGGGTTGTCTAAACTATGGGCAACATGGTGACTGCAGTAAGGAAGAGGCTGCATAGTTAAAGTTGGATCAGATCAGAATAAAAATAATAATAAAATGCCATTTAGCAGACGCTTTTATCCAAAGTGACTTACAGTCATGTGTGCATAAATTTTTTTTAACGTATGGGTGGTCCCGGGGAACGAACCCACTACCCTGGCGTTACAAGCGCCATGCTCTACCAATTGAGCTACAGAGGACCACAGAAGACTTATGAGAAAGCCCAGTGCCAGCCAGCGCCATGGAAGGCTTCATTAAATATGTTGTGTAGCCTAGATTAGACCCAGCCTTCTTTGTTGTGCGTTTTTAATGAAAAGCTAATTTATCTAGTTTGTTGATGAGATGTGAGAGAGGGGTTTGGATACGAGGTGGTTTGTGGACGATCTCCAGCTGTGCTTAGCTTGAGGACGACGGCTAGTCTAGACAGCAGCCCATGACGTAATTTGTTAAACATCATCACACTAGCTAGCTACTGTTGTTTTGGTAAGAGTGACACACACCCAGTCCGAACACACAACCACTGCCTCCCCTCTTGTTATGAGGACCATGCAGTGACAGCTTTGTTGCTGTGTGTGTGTCATGTCTGCTGTTATATGATCAGGCTAACCTCTCTCTCCCTCCCCCTCTCCCTCCCCCTCCCCCTCCCCCTCTCCCTCTCTCTCCCGTCTGTCTCTCGTCAGACACAGATCCTCATCAGTTGGAGAACCAGGAGCAGCAGCAGCCCACCTATGTTGCCCTCAGCTACATCAACAGGTGAGCAGGCTACTAGCCTAACCCTGACCTATACTGAACAAAAATAGAAACGCAACATGCAACAATTTCAAAGATTTTGCTGAGTTACAGTTCATAAAAGGAAATCAGTCAATTTAAATAAATAAATTAGTCCCTAATCTATGGATTTCACATGACTGGAAAGTGGGCCCACCCGCTGGGGACCCAGGCCCAGCCAATCAGAATTAGTTTTTCCCTACAAAAGGGCTTTATTACAGACAGAAATACTCCTCAAAAATACTATTTGTTCAGTGTATATACCAATCAGACCTTTAACCATGTCCCAAAGGATCATGGTTATGAAATCCCTAATGAGCGGTATTCTTATGGTTCAGTTTAAACTGTCCTAACTCTGGCCAGAAAAGGGATTAATGACCAAATGTCATTAGTAAATAGTTGATTAAACAGTTACTTATCTCAGTATGACCCTGTGAAGGTTTGTGTTTGAGGTCTAAGTCTATGCTACATGATAGGTGTATCGGAGGTAAGAACGTGCCTTAAGCTCACCAATGGTGCTATCCAATAGGATCCTTTTCTATAGCACAACTGGTTGGTACGTTGTCAAGGAGACCTCTGGTTGGAGTCCAGTAAGGGGACAGGGACAGTGGAGGAAGAAAAGCTGTTAGCAGCACATTGACTTCGGTTTCATAGGGCCATGCACTTCAACCTCCGAGGGAATCTGGTCCCAGTGTGTGTGTGTGTGTGTGTGTGTGTGTGTGTGTGTGTGTGTGTAGCCTAGTTCCACTAGCAACTTCCATCTAGCAGCAGTCAGTCTCATCTGGTGGATAACTCAGTTTAATTGTGTTAGCATTGGGTAACAGGATGTTAAGTTACCCTGGGTCCTACATTAATAGACCAAGATGACATTTCAATCTCATCCCAGTTCTCTTTGATATGGAGATATAAAAAGGTCGAAGGCAATCTGAGGCTAGTACCGCTGTCTCTCCCCGTCTTTAGACACACATCTTGATGCGGTTTCAGCTTTCATCTGTTCATTTCACTTCTGCTTTAACAGTGTCTGTGTGAACAGTTCATTTTTATGACTTACATTTACACAAGACTTTACAATGTAACAACGTTTTGGTCCGAGATATAGGCCTACTGTTAAACATGACGTTTGGTCAGAGATATAGGCCTACTGTTAAACATGACGTTTGGTCAGAGATATAGGCCTACTGTTAAACATGACGTTTGGTCAGAGATATAGGCCTACTGTTAAACATGACGTTTGGTCAGAGATGTAGGCCTACTGTTAAACATGACGTTTGGTCAGAGATATAGGCCTACTGTTAAACATGAAGTTTGGTCAGAGATATAGACCTACTGTTAAACATGACGTTTGGTCAGAGATATAGGCCTACTGTTAAACATGAAGTTTGGTCAGAGATATAGGCCTACTGTTAAACATGAAGTTTGGTCAGAGATATAGGCCTACTGTTAAACATGGGAATGATAGACTCAGAGCATATGTTGTTGTACAGTGACTTCAGCTGTATAAGTTTGTAACGGAGGAGGTTCTGTGAACAACCACGCTGGCACGATGAGACTAACCTTGCCTAAGACCTGACACGCATTAGCTCCCTGAGCTAATACCTAGGCTTTAGCTCAGCAGGCTAGTACAGCCTTGTGGCGCGCAAGTCAATCAATCTATCAAATTGTATTTAAAAAGCCCTTTTTTACATCAGCAGATGTCACAAAGTGCTATACAGAAACCCTGCCTAAAACCCCAAACAGCAAGCAATGCAGATGTAGAAGCACGGTGGCTAGGAAAAACTCCCTAGAAAGGCAGAAACCTAGGAAGAAACCTAGAGAGGAACCAGGCTCTGAGGGGTGACCCGGATTCAAACCGAGTTGGTCATATATGATGTGTGGTTGTGTGTCCTCTCTCATCATCCATCTCTCTCTGCCTCCTCCCTTCCCCAGGTTTATGACAGAGGCAGCGCGTCGGGAGCACCATGAGAGGCTGAAGAGGAAGGTGCACCCCAAGCTGTCTCAGACAGGCAGTCTGTCTCGTAGCAGTAACATCTCCACTCCTCCCAGACACAGCAGTGGGAACCTCACCCCGCCTGTCACCCCTCCCATCACACCCTCTTCCTCCTTTCGTAGCAGCACTCCTACGTGTAAGATACCGTGTGACAACAGAGTAGACCACCGTCATCTAGGAGGCAGGCGGCAGTAGTTTATGTAATATGGATTATGTCACTTCATTGTCCCATATTTTGGTTTGGATCAGGAAGTGCCTCTTTAAGTTTCAGGAGAATACAGGGAAGATATGTGTAATGTCTCACAGCAGGGTCCTTAGAGAAGCAGAGAGGGTTGACTCTCACGGTCAGTTGGTAGAGGCCTGCACAGGGAAGGTACAGGGCTATGTCTAATATTACAGAGCTTAATTCCTCAGAATCTCATCATTTTAAGTTGCCATGGCATTTGCTTACTTGTGTTCATTGTTTGTGTCTTTCCCATGTCGCCACTTAGTAAGATATGCTGGGTCTTTCAATCCTAATTGCTGTCTCTTTGGTTCTTGTGGTTGTGGAGCCAAATATTATGTTGCATTGCCTTAACCCTAGGACCTTGTGAAACGGGCTAAATTCTTTCCCACAAAACAGTCTCTCCACAATTTCGGGCTCAGTAACAAGGCAACAGTAGAACCCTGTGGGAACCCTACAGCCAGAACACATGTGGAAGGCTCGAGTCTGAATCTGTCTCAGCACATCAGCCGGTCCAAAACCCCTGAGGCTAGGATGCCCATGCCAGCCATAGGATACATCCCAAATGGCACTCTATTATAGTGCACTACTTTTGACCAGAGCCCTATGGGCCCTTGTCAAAAGTAGTACACTATATATAGGGAATAGGGTCCCATTTGGGACTGAGCCTTAGTCATTAACTGTGCTTGAATCAGAGCAGAGTACTGGAGCTGCTGAAATAGGAGTATTAGTCTAATTGTTTATGGATGGCAGTAAGCACGTTTTATGACAAATCGTATTTTGTTGGGTGTTGTGTGTGTGTGTGTGTGGTGTGTGTGTGTGTGTGTGTGTGTGTGTGTGTGTGTGTGTGTGTGTGTGTGTGTGTGTGTACCTGTGTCTGTATGTGTTTCTCCCCTCCAGGCAGTGAGTATGATGAGGAGGAGGAGGAGGAGGTGGACTATGAGGAGTCAGACAGTGGTGAGTCCTGGACCACAGAGAGTGCCATCAGCTCAGAGTCTATCCTCAGCTCCATGTGTATGAATGGAGGAGAGGAGAAACCCTTCGCCTGCCCTGTGCCTGGCTGCAAGAAGAGATACAAGGTGGGCCAACCGCACTCAGTCCATGAATCAATACCATGTGTAAATGGAAAAACCTCAAATAGCTTTTAACTAGAGTCCTGAGTTGAACTAAGAGTCAGAGTGTTTCCTCATCAGGTCATGTGGTCAGGAAAGTCTCCTGTCCCTACCTACCCGTCTGTGGATATTGGCTAGATACATAGTCTATGCTTTCTGTTCAAGTGACTGCTTCTCCTTCTCATAAGACTCCAAATTAAAACCATCCATTACCCAAGATGTTGGTTTGGTCCTAAAGAGACCAAGGCTCTGCATACAGATAAAGCAACACCTCACGGCACAACGCCTCTCCCCTATTTGACCTAGATAGTTTGTGTGTATGTACTGATATGTAGGATACATGTGCCTTTTTAAAATTGATGTAGTTCTGTTCTTGTCTATTAATGTTCTGTATTATGTCATGTTTCATGTTCTGTGTGGACCCCAGGAAGAGTAGCTGCTGCTTTCGCAACAACTAATATGGATCCTAATAAAATACCAAATACCAAAATGCTGCGGTAATAACACTGTGATGTCCATAATACAACCCAGTTCAAACGGATGTCAAATACTGCCATAGAGTTACCGCAGTTGAGAAAACAGGGTGTTAGTCAAACATTACAGCATGTCAACATCTTGAAATGCAAACATCCACGTCCACTGCAGTGATTTAGGGAGGTTTTTACAGGATTTTCCATTCCCATCTGGGTTGGCTGTGTGTCCGGGATAAATGGTGTTCAGCTTGAGAAAATGGCATTGCTGACGTGAATGACAGGATTATGGCTGATGACACACTTAGTAGTAGACTGTAGGCCAGATGTCAAACTCATTCCACAGAGGGCCGAGTGTCTACGGGTTTTCGCTCCACCCTTGGAACTTGATTGATGAATTAACACCCCTCACCTGATTGTCTAGGTCTTATTTGAAAGGAAAAAACTAAAACCTGCAGACACCCCTGCTGAGTTTACGTTTGACACCCCTGCTTTACTAGAAACATGATATAGAGTTAGTAATAGACTCTAGGCCCGGGGTGTCAAACATACTCAATGTATGTGGCACCTTAAGTGGGGAGGACGCGCTCGTGGTAATGGCTAGAATTAGTGGAATGGTATCAAATACATCAAACACATGGTTTCCAGGTGTTTGATGCCATTCCATTTGCTCCGTTCCAGCCATTATCAGCAGCCTCCTGTGAACTAAATATACACTGCTCAAAAAAATTAAGGGAACACTAAAATAACACATCCTAGATCTGAATGAATGAAATAATCTTATTAAATACTTTTTTCTTTACATAGTTGAATGTGCTGACAACAAAATCACACAACAATTATCAATGGAAATCAAATTTATCAACCCATGGAGGTCTGGATTTGGAGTCACCCTCAAAATTAAAGTGGAAAACCACACTACAGGCTGATCCAACTTTGATGTAATGTCAAAATTAGGCTCAGTAGTGTGTGTGGCCTCCACGTGCCTGTATGACCTCCCTACAACGCCTGGGCATGCTCCTGATGAGGTGGTGGATGGTCTCCTGAGGGATCTCCTCCCAGACCTGTACTAAAGCATCCGCCAACTCCTGGACAGTCTGTGGTGCAACGTGGCGTTGGTGGATGGAGCGAGACATGATGTGCTCAATTGGATTCAGGTCTGGGGAACGGGCGGGCCAGTCCATAGCATCAATGCCTTCCTCTTGCAGGAACTGCTGACACACTCCAGCCACATGAGGTCTAGCATTGTCTTGCATTAGGAGGAACCCAGGGCCAACCGCACCAGCATATGGTCTCACAAGGGGTCTGAGGATCTCATCTCGGTACCTAATGGCAGTCAGGCTACCTCTGGCGAGCACATGGAGGGCTGTGCGGCCCCCCAAAGAAATGCCACCCCACACCATGACTGACCCACCGCCAAACCGGTCATGCTGGAGGATGTTGCAGGCAGCAGAACGTTCTCCACGGCGTCTCCAGACTCTGTCATGTCTGTCAGGTGTGCTCAGTGTGAACCTGCTTTCATCTGTGAAGAGCACAGGGCGCCAGTGGCGAATTTGCCAATCTTGGTGTTCTCTGGCAAATGCCAAACGTCCTGCACGGTGTTGGGCTGTAAGCACAAACCCCACCTGTGGACGTCTGGCCCTCATATCACCCTCATGGAGTCTGTTTCTGACCGTTTGAGCAGACACATGCACATTTGTGGCCTGCTGGAGGTCATTTTGCAGGGCTCTGGCAGTGCTCCTCCTTGCACAAAGGCGGAGGTAGCAGTCCTGCTGCTGGGTTGTTGCCCTCCTACGGCCTCCTCCACGTCTCCTGATGTACTGGCCTGTCTCCTGGTAGCGCCTCCATGCTCTGGACACTACGCTGACAGACACAGCAAACCTTCTTGCCACAGCTCGCATTGATGTGCCATCCTGGATGAGCTGTACTACCTGAGCCACTTGTGTGGGTTGTAGACTCGGTCTCATGCTACCACTAGAGTGAAAGCACCGCCAGCATTCAAAAGTGACCAAAACATCAGCCAGGAAGCATAGGAACTGAGAAGTGGTCTGTGGTCTCCACCTGCAAAACCAGTCCTTTATTGGGGGTGTCTTGCTAATTGCCTATAATTTCCACCTGTTGTCTATTCCATTTGCACAACAGCATGTGAAATGTATTGTCAATCAGTGTTGCTTCCTAAGTGGACAGTTTGATTTCACAGAAGTGTGATTGACTTGGAGTTACATTGTGTTGTTTAAGTCTTCCCTTTATTTTTTTGAGCAGTGTACTTTAAAATGACTAAAATCAAATCGAAACACTGTAGAAATTATATTGGACCTACATTCAAACAGTTTCTTGACTGTGTCCAGCTCGCTGACCGGATGCGACCCCCGGGGCAACATTGAATTGACACCCCTTCACTAGGCTGTACAAGAAGCATGCAGAGATTAAGGACGTTGTGTTGAGTTAGTTCAACTGACAGAAGACATCTGGACAAATATAGGCTTCTTGAATCCTTTGCGAGATGGACAAATAATCAAGTATATTTTTATATATTCTATTCTGTCACTATGTTGTACAGTAAACATACAGAGTGATGTGTAGTTAGGTTTAGTGTTATGAGAGAATCATGACTGTTATACAGTGGGGAAGAAAAGTATTTAGTCAGCCACCAATTGTGCAAGTTCTCCCACTTAAAAAGATGAGAGAGGCCTGTAATTTTCATCATAGGTACACGTCAACTATGACAGACAAAATGAGAAAATCTTTTCCAGAAAATCACATTGTAGGATTTTTTATGAATTTATTTGCAAATTATGGTGGAAAATAAGTATTTGGTCAATAACAAAAGTTTCTCAATACTTTGTTATATACCCTTTGTTGGCAATGACACAGGTCAAACGTTTTCTGTAAGTCTTCACAAGGTTTTCACACACTGTTGCTGGTATTTTGTCCCATTCCTCCATGCAGATCTCCTCTAGAGCAGTGATGTTTTGGGGCTGTCGCTGGGCAACACAGACTTTCAACTCCCTCCAAATATTTTCTATGGGGTTGAGATCTGGAGACTGGCTAGGCCACTCCAGGACCTTGAAATGCTTCTTACGAAGCCACTCCTTCGTTGCCCGGGCGGTGTGTTTGGGATCATTGTCATGCTGAAAGACCCAGCCACGTTTCATCTTCAATGCCCTTGCTGATGGAAGGAGGTTTTCACTCAAAATCTCACGATACATGGCCCCATTCATTCTTTCCTTTACACGGATCAGTCGTCCTGGTCCCTTTGCAGAAAAACAGCCCCAAAGCATGATGTTTCCACCCCCATGCTTCACAGTAGGTATGGTGTTCTTTGGATGCAACTCAGCATTCTTTGTCCTCCAAACACGACGAGTTGAGTTTTTACCAAAAAGTTATATTTTGGTTTCATCTGACCATATGACATTCTCCCAATCCTCTTCTGGATCATCCAAATGCACTCTAGCAAACAGACGGGCCTGGACATGTACTGGCTTAAGCAGGGGGACACGTCTGGCACTGCAGGATTTGAGTCCCTGGCGGCGTAGTGTGTTACTGATGGTAGGCTTTGTTACTTTGGTCCCAGCTCTCTGCAGGTCATTCACTAGGTCCCCCCGTGTGGTTCTGGGATTTTCTTGTGATCATTTTGACCCCACGGGGTGAGATCTTGCGTGGAGCCCCAGATCGAGGGAGATTATCAGTGGTCTTGTATGTCTTCCATTTCCTAATAATTGCTCCCACAGTTGATTTCTTCAAACCAAGCTGCTTACCTATTGCAGATTCAGTCTTCCCAGCCTGGTGCAGGTCTACAATTTTGTTTCTGGTGTCCTTTGACAGCTCTTTGGTCTTGGCCATAGTGGAGTTTGGAGTGTGACTGTTTGAGGTTGTGGACAGGTGTCTTTTATACTGATAACAAGTTCAAACAGGTGCCATTAATACAGGTAACGAGTGGAGGACAGAGGAGTCTCTTAAAGAAGAAGTTACAGGTCTGTGAGAGCCAGAAATCTTGCTTGTTTGTAGGTGACCAAATACTTATTTTCCACCATAATTTGCAAATAAATTCATTAAAAATCCTACAATGTGATTTTCTGGATTTTTTTTCTCAATTTGTCTGTCATAGTTGACGTGTACCTATGATGAAAATTACAGGCCTCTCTCATCTTTTTAAGTGGGAGAACTTGCACAATTGGTGGCTGACTAAATACTTTTTTTCCCCACTGTATGAGACTGATCCAGTGTTCTCCAAATCCAGTTGAAGACCCTGATTGGTTGAATATTTGAATCAGATGTGTGTGAATCAGGGCTGGATCAAAAGCCCCTGTACACACCCAGTAGCACTCCAGGACTGGAGTTGGCGAACACTGGATTAATTCAACCTTAGCTTACTCTGCCCACTTACACTCTGTACTGTTCCCTCCCCCTCATTCAGAATGTGAACGGGATCAAGTACCACGCCAAGAACGGCCACCGGACACAGATCCGCGTCCGCAAGCCCTTCAAGTGCCGCTGTGGGAAGAGCTACAAGACGCCCCAGGGCCTGAGGCACCACACCGTCAACTTCCACCCGCCCGTCTTTGCCCACATCCGCAAGATTCAGCAGTAGCACCCCCCCACCCCATTTTCTTCATATCTTTGTACTTTTTCACATTTGAGCTATCATGTGTCTTTTTGATATATTTTTGGCACATCGTGCTTACTGTTAAGATGATGATGATGCTATGTTTGAAATAGTGCGTACTGCCGCGTTCAAAACAACTCGGAACTCAGAACTCTTCGACTTCAGTGCAGGGATCTTTTTTTATTTTTGTGACTGGCTCTGACTTCCGAACGGTCATCCAGCTCGGAATTCCAAGTCGGAAACTCTGGCATCTTTATAGAGCTCCGACTTTCCGACCTGAAGATCACTGACGTCATGATTTGACCTCTTTTTTTCCCCCGAGTTCCCAGTTGTCTTGAAAGCACCATGAGTTAAGGTTCATAGCCCTGCCCCTGGGCTGTGTTCGGCAGAGCAAATCGTGGTGGAATATTTACATACAGATATGTTGTGTACGTTACCACTTACTGAACTTGACTCGAGTGTTCAGGTAATGTTGTGTTCGAAAGAAAGGGCATGAGAGTGGAGAGGCCAGGGGAGAAAGCAAGCATCACCACCACAAAGTGGAGGCAAGAAAATCTGAATGTTTGTGAAATATAACAATGTCTATACATCCTGTGTAGCTCAGTTGGTAGAGCATGGCGCTTGCAATGCCAGGGTTGTGGGTTTGATTCTCACAGGGGACCATTTTTTTTTTTAAAGGTATGAAAATGTATGTATGCCCTTGCTCTGGATAAGAGTGTCTGGTAAAATAGTAGGCTATTATATATTTTTCCCATTCTGAAAGTATAGTTTTAAGATTCACTTTTCTAGTATTACTTTATTTTTTATTTTTTTTGTGTTTTAGCACCAAAATACTATCTCAGGTGAGAGTTTGCCGGCAGCATTTCAGCACCACAATCCTAATCACAATCCTTCCCGTGTTCTGATAGGTACGCGACCCAAATGGCACCCTATTCCCTATATAGTGCACTACTTTTGACTAGAGCCCTATGGGCCCTGGTCCAACAAAAGTAGTGCGCTAAATAGGGTGCGCTAAATGCCATTTGGGATACACATAGTATTTTAGAATCAGCTGTTATGCTGTTCACTGGAATTTTGGAATTGGGTGTCACAGCAGTCCCAGTATTCCGGAACCCATTCCCAGTATTCCGGAACCCTTCCATTCAAGGGTGCTGAGCAGTTATCTTCTTCGCCATAGCCTTGTGAAGCATTTAAGCACTTTGTAGTAACCAGTTGCCAACAGAATTAGGATGGTTTTCGTTGCCAATAACTCTTATCTGCTACATGTCTGGTCGGTGTGTGCAGCAGCAGTCACAGGAACTAGAGAGAGAGCCAGACTCTGGAGGTACTCAACTTTTCCAAGGGAGTTTTACATTTTTTCAGACCTCCAGTGTTTCCTGTTTGTTGTGGTGAGATTATGTATCTGGTTTCCTTGAATTGTAGACCAGAAGACAGAGTTCCAATCCAGTATCTGTGTATAGCTCCATAGTGACACTTCAGGAACGGCTCATTTGAGCTAGAGTAGACATTCCTGTAAAGAAAAGATGGTCATATCTCCATTCTGCTCCATTTCTCCACCTGTGTCCCTCTAGCCTTTTAATGTAGTCTTATAAAAGGTAATGTGCCATACTGGTTATCAGAGAGAGCAAGGGGCTAATCAACAACCCATCAAAACATCATCACTGCATGGAATTCAATGTTGTTATGGAACTACACGTTAATGTGTGCGTCCTTGCCCTATTCCCTATAGTCCATAGGGCTCTGGTCAAAAGTAGTGCACTATATAGGGAATAGGGTGCGCCATTTGGGACACAGATTATGTTGATGGACATTGACAGTATTATACTGCCAATACATATGGAGGGAAGTATTTGATATATTGTGTATAGTAAATGTATTGTCTCTAAGTGCAATAAATTATATTTTTATATGTTTCTGGAGATTGATGACCCTTACTGTGTGTGTATGTATTCTGTAAACTAAGGCAACACCAGAGGTTGTTTTGGAACTGACGGTGATGTACAAAACAAGCTGCTTTAGAAATGTAGCTGTGATTACATTTGAAACATCACAATTGCCTCTGATGTGTCCCTGGACATTTTTGCACCATTACATATTTTTTTCCACCTTTATTTAAACAGGGAGTAACATTGAGACCAAGGTCTGTTTTACAAAGGAGCCCTGACTGAGTATGTATGTGCACAAGGTATTGAATAAACTGACTGGGTATATTATAGGCTGATACGCTACATTGTTCCAAACAGACTTTATTAGTTCAGATTTCATTACATGGGACTCACACAAAGAAATCAAAGGTTTTCTATGATCGTGAAATAACTTGCAGCAAATAACGTAAATAACAAAATAATAGTTTCTCATCTAACAGAATCCTGGCATGCATTTTAATCAGTAGCGATAGGTGAAGCATGACTTCTTTAGCCAGACACAACCAAACCGGTGGATAATTAAATAATGAGAATCGAAAGAAACTGAAAATCAACTAACAGTAAAATATGACAGCTCTTTCTAACCATACATACACATATTGCAAAAGCTTATACAACACTGTTGGCTTTTAAAAGATTATTCTAAAATAGATTATTTAAAGATAATACAATAATCAGGTTTAGAAGCAATGATTTGTCCCGTCTGTCTGCATATAGTGCACCGAGGCGGCTGCTTTCTAAAAAAGAATGAATACCTGAATTTTATTATGAAGCTCAGGGGAAAGCATTTTGGTTGGAACAGTTCAAATGTATGTTTTGGTAAACGCCTGATGTAGCCTACTTTCCCTGACTTTACATAGTCTAGTAGTGTCTGAGACTGGTGAAGTACAGCGATGACATAGTACTTCACATCATCATCGATCATATCCCACTAATAGAATCTTGATCAGCCACTTCATGTTAAAGAACCTATTATTAAAGACGTTCTGATTCACACAGATTGATAGCTCTGGTCTGAAATATACATGAAATCAGAGCACATGGTTTTAATGGAGAACCAATCACACCACCCAATATATAGACCTTTTCCTTAGTTAATAAAATACGCTAATCAAAACGTCAACGGTCCTAAAAGTGAATCGGAATGAGATCGTCACACCTGTTACAGGTGGCAGGGGAAAGAGAGTGCAAGGCAGTTTAATTTCAGTAGCGACTGACAGAAACTGAAGGGTGTAGTGGATATGGTTTTTAGTCGAAGTTGAGCACGTTGGTGTCAAAGTGGGTGAGCACGTGGTTCTCGAAGATCTTCTGGTCGCAGTCGAGGGGGAACTGCTCGCTGCACATGGGGCACACCTTCCAGTGGCTCTCTACATGCTCCTCAAACTTACTCTGGTCGTAGTTGGGCGGGAAGATCAACTCACACAGCGGACAGCGCTTTTGGACGTTCACACTGCACAGAGGGGAGAGAGAATGGAGTGATGGAAAGAGAAGGAAGGAGTGATGGAAATAGAAGGAAAGAGTGATGGAAAGAAACAAAGAAAAGGTATTGAGAGAGCAACCAAGAGAGAAGGTATTGAGAGAGCAACAAAGAGATAAGGTATTGAGAGAGCAACAAAGAGAGAAGGTATTGAGAGAGCAACAAAGAGAGAAGGTATTGAGAGAGCAACAAAGAGAGAAGGTATTGAGAGAGCAACAAAGAGAGAAGGTATTGAGAGAGCAACAAAGAGAGAAGGTATTGAGAGAGCAACAAAGAGATAAGGTATTGAGAGAGCAACAAAGAGAGAAGGTATTGAGAGAGCAACAAAGAGAGAAGGTATTGAGAGAGCGTTGTGTTAATGAGCAGCCAAGTGATGATGTTGGCAGAGGGGAGCAGAGCAGGACAGCTAACAGGCTAATAAAGGCCATCTGTCAGGTCTACTCTACGTGGGTGGGCCGCTAGCTGGGCTGGGCCACTCATGTTAACACCTACATTAAAGAACAAAGACTTTACACATGTTATCATGATATACACAGGTTGGAGCTGGGAAGCTGCTGTGCTGGGGTGAGAGGGACCAACTTCAATGCATTTTGGGGAGCTCAGGCCTTCAGTGTGTGTGTGTGTGTGTGTGTGTGTGTGTGTGTGTGTGTTTGTTTGTGTTACCTGGCCTCAAAGCAAAAGGGAGTCTGTCCATCATTTAAGAATGGGCTGTGGGGTTCAGTAGTTGCTGCAGGCTGTTCATTGGCATTGCCCTGTGGTGGAGGGTAGAAAACTACTTCAGAAATACTATCACACACACAACTGCTGTAGCAGAAAATCATCCCACTGTGTATGATGCAACATATCACTGAGTGAACCTCAGTGGAGGCTGGTGTCACTTTAAAATCGGAGGACAGCTCATAGTAATGGCTGGAATTAAGGTAACAGTATCAAATCAAACATGCTTTCATAATGTTCACTTTATTCAATTCCAGTTATTACTAGGAGCCGTCCTCCCCTCACCAGCCTCCTCTGGTCTATCTTTAAAGCAGACTAACTGACTAACTCACGTTGTTGATGTTGTTTTCAGACTAGCTAACTACCATTGTTGTTTTCAGACTAGCTAACTACCATTGTTGTTTTCAGACTAGCTAACTACCATTGTTGTTTTCAGACTAGCTAACTACCATTTGTTGTTTTCAGACTAGCTAACTACCATTTTTGTTTTCAGACTAGCTAACTACCATTGTTGTTTCCAGACTAGCTAACTACCATTGTTGTTTTCAGACTAGCTAACTATCATTGTTGTTTTCAGACTAGCTAACTATCATTGTTGTTTTCAGACTAGCTAACTATCATTGTTGTTTTCAGACTAGCTAACTATCATTGTTGTTTTCAGACTAGCTAACTATCATTGTTGTTTTCAGACTAGCTAACTATCATTGTTGTTTTCAGACTAGCTAACTACCATTGTTGTTTTCAGACTAGCTAACTACCATTGTTGTTTTCAGACTAGCTAACTACCATTTGTTGATTTCAGACTAGCTAACTATCATTGTTGTTTTCAGACTAGCTAACTACCATTGTTGTTTTCAGACTAGCTAACTATCATTGTTGTTTTCAGACTAGCTAACTATCATTGTTGTTTTCAGACTAGCTAACTATCATTGTTGTTTTCAGACTAGCTAACTATCATTGTTGTTTTCAGACTAGCTAACTATCATTGTTGTTTTCAGACTAGCTAACTATCATTGTTGTTTTCAGACTAGCTAACTATCATTGTTGTTTTCAGACTAGCTGACTATCATTGTTGTTTTCAGACTAGCTAACTATCATTGTTGTTTTCAGACTAGCTAACTCACATTGTTGTTGTTGTTCTGCTGCTCCTCTGGGTCCTCCAGGCCGTCGGGCCGGCTGAGGTTGCGTGCAGGCTGGATGCAGACTACGTTACTATCCCAGGAGGGGGGGCCCACAGGGGGCAAGCGAGGCAGCAGGTCATCAGAGAACTCTCCGTCCGCTCCATCTAGAGTGAGGGAAAAGAGAGGGTCAAAGGTCAATAGGAATGTAAGCATATTAGGGTTTCAAAATTCAGATACCTTTCCCAAAATTCCCAGGTTTTCCAGAAAGAAGCTACAAGAAATGATACATGAAATGAATAGCAATTGAATGAATCTGAACCAACCTCTTGCATCTGAGGTGGAGTAAGGGTTCCCAAAGTGCAGCTGTGTAGGGCTCTGGGGGACCAGCAGTGGAGTGGGGGCGTCCTGGGGGTAGGGCAGGGGATACTGCAGGAACACAGACTGAATGCTCATCTCCTCTGACACTACAGCCTCCGTCTTCTTACCACCACCACCACCGCTCTTCTGGAGATCCTGGTGGGGACAGACAAGACAACGGAAACTATTAGATTATATTATTATACATTTATGATTGGAAAGGGAATCCTTTAAAATAACTGATCTTGTATTTTCTCTAACAGAATTGTGCTATCTTGTGGAGGAAATGTATTCATATTGTTCATATATTGTAAATATTATCTTTTGATGCTAAGAAGTACCACACCTGAAACGTCACTCTAAAAGTGTAGCTGCTCCTAAGAAGAAAAGACTTAGCTACAGATCTAACTTCAGCTACATTTCTATGTCCATCCTCTCCAGGATAGTCAATACATGACTGGCCACAACCACCTCACAGCAGCTCCTAGAACTATGGTCGGTCTCTCTCCCTCTCCCTCGGTCCCTCTCTCTCTCTCTCCCTGCCTCGTTCCGCCTCTCGGTCCCCATCTCCCTCGGCCCTCTCTCCCCCCCCCTTGGTCCCTCTCTCTCCCCCTCGGCCCTCTCCCCCCCCCCCCCTTGGTCCCTCTCTCTCCCCCTTGGTCCCTCTCTCTCCCCCTCGGCCCTCTCTCTCCCCCTTGGTCCCTCTCTCTCCCCCTTGGTCCCTCTCTCTCCCCCTCGGCCCTCTCTCTCCCCCTTGGTCCCTCTCTCTCCCCCTTGGTCCCTCTCTCTCCCCCCCTTGGTCCCTCTCTCGGTCCCCCTCTCTCTCTCTCTCCCTGCCTCGTTCCGCCTCTCGGTCCCCATCTCCCTTGGCCCTCTCTCTCCCCCTTGATCCCTCTCTCTCCCCCTCGGCCCTCTCTCTCCCCCTTGGTCCCTCACTCGGTCCCCCTCTCTCTCTCTCTCTCCCCCTCTTGGTCCCCCCCCCTCACTCTCTCCCCCCCTCGGTTCCCTCCCCTTTCCCTCCCTCCGTCTCGCTCCCCCGTCTGTCTCTCTCTCTCCCCGTCTCGCCATCCTTCTCTCCGTCCCTCTCTCTCTCGCACCGTCTCTCTCTCCCCTTCTCCCTCAAAAAACAGTTTAATTAGTCATTCATTAAAAAAGAATATCCTCTCATTTTCAAAGGCAATGGAAGGTTTGTGTTTTACTGGAAGTTTGAAGCAGACGCCAATTTAATTGACAGTCTCAACCTCAAATTGGGTCGTTTTGTTACTCTTAGTGACGAATGCGTCCGCTAGCTAGCTCCCCTTCAGCAGATTCCCCGGGCCCAATCTGGACTTCTCTGTGGTTCAGAGTAATTGAATGGAAAATGAGAAGTCACTTTGCTTTACTTCACCAATTAGAGATGTGTTAAACCCCAGCCAGATTAGGATATGGGAAAATTGCTGCTCTTTTTGGGGTGTTTTTAGTTCAGAGAGGTCTATAAAGGCAGAAAATGAAAGCTATAGTGTAGTGTTGCTATACTTACTAACTTCACCAACTATACTAACCTCCTCAAGTCTCTCCTTGTCCTTCATCAGAGCGGCCAGGGTGTCCTTCAGTTCATTCAGCGCACGCCCCTTCTCAGCCACCTGACTCTGAAGGAGGGAGACGGTCAGGAGACGGTCAGGAGACGGTCAGGAGACGGTCAGGAGACGGTCAGGAGACAGTCGGGAGGGCGTAGGGAGACATGGAGAACACATCAGTTTAAGATTATGGCCGTTGAGGAAAAATATTTTGATATCAAATAAATGTCTATCAGTATTAAGGAAAAACATGCCAACTCCTGCATTAGTCAGGCAACAGGAGAGGAGTCCTCAGAGTCCAACCCTGTCCCTGGCTGTCTCTGCGGCTGTGTTCCAAACGGCACCCTATTATCTATATAGTGCACTACTTTTGTCAAAAGAAGTGCACTATATAAGGATAGGGTGCCATTTGGGACACAACTTCAGAGTCCGACCCTGGCGGTCTCCAGGACTTACATAAACAGCAATAAAGCCTTCCTCTGAACGGGCTCTGCACATTATCACAACTGTCACTGGAGTTGGCCTTCAACTGGAGTATTTTCTATTTATTTGCCGTCCTAACATCTGCTCTGATTCTAGCCTGGTCCCAGACCTGTGTGTGGTTTGGCATGACTTATGATAAGTCAGAGGAGATGGCTACATCACTATCACATCCATATCTGGGACCAGGCTAGATCATGGCATGACAATGACAGGGAGAGGAGGTTGGATAGAACATCCATATCTGGGACCAGGCTTCTCTTGAAGTATCTAGCTCTCCAGGACTGGAGTAGGAGAGTCCTGCGCTACACTAACCTGGTAGTGATTATCATAGCCTGGTCCCAGACCTGTCTGTAGCCCTGCACTACACTGACCTGGTAGTGATTATCCTAGCCTGGTCCCAGACCTGTCTGTAGCCCTGCTCTACACTGACCTGGTAGTGATTATCCTAGCCTGGTCCCAGACCTGTCTGTAGCCCTGCTCTACACTGACCTGGTGGTGATTATCCTAGCCTGGTCCCAGACCTGTCTGTAGCCCTGCTCTACACTGACCTGGTAGTGATTATCCTAGCCTGGTCCCAGACCTGTCTGTAGCCCTGCTCTACACTGACCTGGTAGTGATTATCCTAGCCTGGTCCCAGACCTGTCTGTAGCCCTGCTCTACACTGACCTGGTAGTGATTATCCTAGCCTGGTCCCAGACCTGTCTGTAGCCCTGCTCTACACTGACCTGGTAGTGATTATCCTAGCCTGGTCCCATACCTGTCAGTTTTGGGTTTGAGGAAACAGAAGCCTGCTCAACATAATCTATACTGACCTTTTATGATCCTCGTCGGCTGGTCTCAGATCTGTGTACTGCTATACATAGTTTACAATGTACGTGGTAGCGGTCCTCCTAGCCTGGTATCTACAGAATCTACAATGTACGTGGTAGCGGTCCTCCTAGCCTGGTAACTACAGAATCTACACTGTACCTTATAGCGGTCCTCCTCAGCTGTTCTCAGACCTGTCTGTAGTACTGCTCTACAATGTACCTTATAGCGGTCCTCCTCGGCTGCCAGCTGCAGCTTCAGGCTGTCGTTGGTCTTCAGCTGCTCCTTCAGCTTCACCTCCATCTTGGCCAGCTCATCAGCAAACATGCAGCTACGCTCCTTCTCCTCCTAGAGAGACAACACTCTGGTCACAACATGTAGCTACGCTCCTTCTCCTCCTAGAGAGATAACACTCTGGTCACAACATGTAGCTACGCTCCTTCTCCTCCTAGAGAGACAACACTCTGGTCACAACATGTAGCTACGCTCCTTCTCCTCCTAGAGAGATAACACTCTGGTCACAACATGTAGCTACGCTCCTTCTCCTCCTAGAGAGACAACACTCTGGTCACAACATGTAGCTACGCTCCTTCTCCTCCTAGAGAGACAACACTCTGGTCACAACATGTAGCTACGCTCCTTCTCCTCCTAGAGACAACACTCTGGTCACAACATGTAGCTACGCTCCTTCTCCTCCTAGAGAGACAACACTCTGGTCACAACATGTAGCTACGCTCCTTCTCCTCCTAGAGAGACAACACTCTGGTCACAACATGTAGCTACGCTCCTTCTCCTCCTAGAGAGATAACACTCTGGTCACAACATGTAGCTACGCTCCTTCTCCTCCTAGAGAGACAACACTCTGGTCACAACATGTAGCTACGCTCCTTCTCCTCCTAGAGAGATAACACTCTGGTCACAACATGTAGCTACGCTCCTTCTCCTCCTAGAGAGACAACACTCTGGTCACAACATGTAGCTACGCTCCTTCTCCTCCTAGAGACAACACTCTGGTCACAACATGTAGCTACGCTCCTTCTCCTCCTAGAGACAACACTCTGGTCACAACATGTAGCTACGCTCCTTCTCCTCCTAGAGATAACACTCTGGTCACAACATGTAGCTACGCTCCTTCTCCTCCTAGAGACAACACTCTGGTCACAACATGTAGCTACACTCCTTCTCCTCCTAGAGAGACAACACTCTGGTCACAACATGCAGCTACGCTCCTTCTCCTCCTAGAGACAACACTCTGGTCACAACATGTAGCTACGCTCCTTCTCCTCCTAGAGAGACAACACTCTGGTCACAACATGTAGCTACGCTCCTTCTCCTCCTAGAGAGACAACACTCTGGTCACAACATGTAGCTACGCTCCTTCTCCTCCTAGAGAGATAACACTCTGGTCACAACATGTAGCTACGCTCCTTCTCCTCCTAGAGAGACAACACTCTGGTCACAACATGTAGCTATGCGCCTTCTCCTCCTAGAGAGAACAACACTCTGGTCACAACATGTAGCTACGCTCTGGTCACTGACTGCTCCTATTTAAACCAGAACCTCTTCCTCCTCTTTGGAGTGGGGAAAAACGGTCATGCTATCACCCTCCTTCTCCTCCTAGAGACAACACTCTGGTCACAACATGTAGCTACGCTCCTTCTCCTCCTAGAGACAACACTCTGGTCACCCTTGGGGAAACCGTGTTCTCTTTCTACACTTTATGATTGATAGATTTGTAGATTGATTGGTTGGTCTGATGGACTATGCAAAAACTCTGACAATATGATGATGAACACACCAGACAGGAAGCCAAGAAGAGTTCTTACATTCAGCATCTGTTTGCATTTCCTGTACTTGTCGCTCCTGTCGGATGCCTGTCTGCTGAAGCCTTTGAGTTTCTCCTGGATGATGGCCTCCAGCATGGGGTCAGCAGAACCTGGACTCCCTGGGGATACACAGGTCAGACCGTTACTATCCCATCAATAGTTTTAACATCAAGGACCTCTTTGGAAAAAGTGTTTTAGTTAATGCTTCCAAGTCTTATTCTCTGGGATCAAATGCACATCTTGTTTGATGGAAGTATTATTTTGACCCCAAATTCAACTCTATTCAATAGATAGGGGTTTAGAAATAAAACATTTAGCATGTAAACCATACCTGAAAGGTTTACAACAAAGGAGGACATGTTTTAATTCAGGGTGTCACTGGTAGTAATATGTGAGGTGAATGTGTGTGTACCTGGCACAGAGGTGTCTGGACTGACAGACAGAGGGACGGCCATGGTCTCAGCTGCTGGGTTCTTCCTCAGCTCCTAGACACAAACAATATGAAGACACATGTTGATGAGTGTGTGTGTATGTGTGTCTGTGTATCCATGCCTGTGTGTGTGCCTGTGTGTGTGTGTGCGTGTGTGTGTGCGAGTGCGTGTGTGTGCGTCTCACTCACCCCCGGTTGTTCAGAGAGCTTGACCACCTGCCTCTGCAGCCTCTGACACTCCTTGTACTTCTCCTTGTAGTGTTCTGCAGCCATGTGCAGCCGGAGCTTCAGGTCCTCCACCTCTCTCTGCAGCTCAGCCACGGTGGCTGGGTCAGCCTCTGCCTCATCCTCCACCCTGCACACCTGAGACTTAGCCTGCTGCTCCCACAACACACAGAGGGACAGTGAGGACAGAGACAGACCAGACAGACCACTCCATGTTAACATCAGACCGGTCCAATATTTGAGCAGGTAAACCTTGTCCGATCCAGAACAGTCCATAGGGGCAGGAGCTTAATCACCTGTTTTTGTAGCATGAGGTTACTTGATGTACAAGTACACCTCCTGGACAGGACACTAGTCTATCTCCTGTTTCTGTAGTGAGGCAGCTTGATGTACCAGTACACCGCCTGGACAGAACACTAGTCTATCTCCTGTTTCTGTAGTGAGGCAGCTTGATGTACCAGTACACTTCCTGGACAGGACACTAGTCTATCTCCTGTTTCTGTAGTGAGGCAGCTTGATGTACCAGTACACCTCCTGGACAGGACACTAGTCTATCTCCTGTTTCTGTAGTGAGGCAGCTTGATGTACCAGTACACCTCCTGGACAGGACACTAGTCTATCTCCTGTTTCTGTAGTGAGGCAGCTTGATGTACCAGTACACCCCCTGGACAGGACACTAGTCTATCTCCTGTTTCTGTAGTGAGGCAGCTTGATGTACCAGTACACCACCTGGACAGGACACTAGTCTATCTCCTGTTTCTGTAGTGAGGCAGCTTGATGTACCAGTACACCTCCTGGACAGAACACTAGTCTATCTCCTGTTTCTGTAGTGAGGCAGCTTGATGTACCAGTACACCACCTGGACAGGACACTAGTCTATCTCCTGTTTCTGTAGTGAGGCAGCTTGATGTACCAGTACATCCCCTGGACAGGACTCTAGTCTGTCAAATATATCAGCTGCACTTGATTTAGTTTGTCCAGTACAACGGAACCAATGGAATCGTCCCAAAAGTTCAAACTCCAAGCTAAACTGAGTGCAAACTAAGTATACATCCAAATTCAAACAGCCCTTTGGCTCCTGGTCAAAAGAAGAGCACTAAATAGGGAATAGGGTGCCATTGAAATCAAGGTCCTCCTTACTGCCTCTAGCTGGGTGTCATCCTTCATCTGTTCCACCAGGCGCTCCAGACGGCCACACTGTGCCAGGGCCTCCTGCTTCCCCTGCAGCAGGGCGTCTGTCTCCAGCCTCATGCGGTACAGGTCAGCCATGGTGCGGTCGCGGGCGCTGGACGCGTCCCTCAGCTCAGCAGACAACATGGAGGCCTGCTGCTGTTTGGCCTGAAGCTGCTCTTCCTTCTGACGAAGCTGTTCCTTCATGACCTTCAGCTCACCCTGCACAGAGACACCAGGGGAGAAAGGGAAATACATGCACAGGTATAACGGTCAGTACATCTCTCTCTCACATACACACAGGTATGGATGAACAAATCATGCACTCTGAATTAACATTTGTTGTGAGTTCGAATCCCAGGTCTGCCCACTGCCGTTGTGCCTTTGAGCAAGGACCACTCCATGGGCGCTGCTCTGCGGCTTTGACGGTGTTGCTTCCAGACTTTAGTCTCTTGTAGGTGTGGGGTCTGAATATTATGGTGTGCGGCCCATATTCCCTACCACCTATATAATGCACTGGTCCAAAGTAGGGATCTAGGAGGTAGCCATGATAATATTCTGATTCTTACCAAGGGGGAGGCCTTGGCCAGGAACTCCTTGTGTTGTTTCTCCTTCTCAGTGAGGCAGGAGCGGAGGCGTCCCACCTCCTCTTTGAACTGAGCAATGGTGTTCTCCTTGTTTACACCCACAGCCTTCAGCATCTGCAGCTCTGCACTCAGCTTAGTGTTCTCCAGCTCACGGTTCTTCAGGTGGATCTAGAACCGCAAACAAATATTTTAAATACTTTTTTTGAATGGCAAAATCACATTACAATCAAAAAGGATTCTAACATTTCAAAGGTCACAGAAAGATGGACGATGTAGGGGGTTCGTATAACAAATGAATCATTAGAAAGTGTAGCTATGTTTCTGCCTGGTGTTCCAGTGACACCCCTCTGACTACATTAATCATCATCCTTCAGCAAGATGTAGCCAGCTCCTAAAATAATGCAGAATAACCTTAATTACAACACAGAGATTGAGGTGGGCTCGTTAAACTACCCTGCAGTCCCACCAAAATGGCACCCTAAACCCTCTGTAGCGCACTACTTTTGACCAGGGGTCATAGGGCTCTGATCAAAAGTAGTACACTATATAGGGAATAGGGTGCCAATTGGGACACAGCCTCAGCGACGCGGCCGGCTAAACGAGGTGCGGCTTTCACTTGTGCTTCCGTGGCGACAGTGTGCGTGCGTACCACTCCTAGTTCCTGAGCTGTACCCACCAGTCACCACCACTACAAAGCTCCCCAGAAACGGCAGGCGAGAACCAGGCGGAAGAGGGCCGGAACAGACCATATCCTGTTCAGCCACAACACTGTGGGATCCCACTGAGCAGGGAAACAGCAGCTACACACACTAGTGGGATTAACTGGATTGAGAGAAGTGGTCATATTAACTGGATTGAGAAAAGTGGTCAGATTAACTGGACTGAGAGAAGTGGTCAGATTAACTGGATTGAGAGAAGTGGTCAGATTAACTGGACTGAGAGAAGTGGTCAGATTAACTGGACTGAGAGAAGTGGTCAGATTAACTGGATTGAGAGAAGTGGTCAGATTAACTGGACTGAGAGAAGTGGTCAGATTAACTGGATTGAGAGAAGTGGTCAGATTAACTGGACTGAGAAAAGTGGTCAGATTAACTGGACTGAGAAAAGTGGTCAGATTAACTGGACTGAGAGAAGTGGTCAGATTAACTGGACTGAGAGAAGTGGTCAGATTAACTGGATTGAGAGAAGTGGTCAGATTAACTGGACTGAGAGAAGTGGTCAGATTAACTGGATTGAGAGAAGTGGTCAGATTAACTGGACTGAGAAAAGTGGTCAGATTAACTGGACTGAGAAAAGTGGTCAGATTAACTGGACTGAGAAAAGTGGTCAGATTAACTGGACTGAGAGAAGTGGTCAGATTAACTGGACTGAGAAAAGTGGTCAGATTAACTGGACTGAGAGAAGTGGTCAGATTAACTGGACTGAGAAAAGTGGTCAGATTAACTGGACTGAGAGAAATGGTCAGATTAACTGGACTGAGAGAAGTGGTCAGATTAACTGGATTGAGAGAAGTGGTCAGATTAACTGGACTGACAGAGGTGGTCAGATTAACTAGACTGAGAGAAGTGGTCAGATTAACTTTTGACTATAGTCTAAAAGACATCTCTGGTATGATTCCATACATTTTCCCAAGATTCCCAGGTTTTTCATAAATCCCGGTTGCAGGAAATCTTGAATCCTGGGAATTTTGGGAAAGTACCGGAATCTTGCAACCCTAGGTATGATCCTTCACAGCTACAGTCACATGACTCATAGTACAGGAGCAGTGTGCGCAACGTAGGTATGTGTGTGTGTGTGTGTGTGTGTGTGTGTGTGTGTGTGTGACCTTGTAGAGTTCCTTCTCATCCTTCTCATCCTTCAGGTGTGACTCCATGCCATCCTTCTCCAGAGTCAGCTTCTTCACTCTGTCCTTCAGGCTGTCCAGCTCCGTCTCTTTCTGCAGGCCCTTCTGGGTGACTCCCATCAGGTCATCCTCCAGCTGCAGGACCCTGGCTGTGGCCTCCTCCTGTACCTCCTGGGGACAGAGAGACAGAGGGAGGGAGTTAGTAACCTGTAACCTTAAATGTCTTTTTTATGTCCGTTTTACCCTTTTAAGCCAGAGACAAATTGTGAGAACCTAAGGGACAATAACGTTCTCCTCTCATCTACTAGTTCCCCTGGAGAATTTAGTTGTTTTGCTTCTCTGTTATGTAGATTAGAATAGAGAACCATGTCAGGTCTATACAGGATATATATCTGCAACGTCTTCAATTGAATCACTTCCTGTCTCTAAAGCACAACAAGAACAAATCCTCAGTGCTGTGACAGACAGGCGGCCGCTAGAGGAAATCCCAGCCAGTCCTGTGTGTGTCAAACACAGAGACACTGCCAGGTCTTTATGGATTCAATCACACACACACACGGTCACCCTGTAAATCCAATACTAACTGTGTGGCTGTGAGCCGGAGAACGGGAAAAAAACGTGTCAAGTTTTCGTACTACTTTTGAGATGTAAAATCATCTGCCTACAAATCATCCATTTCAATCTGGCGTGTTATTCTGTTTTGAGGCTGGAAGGGAAGCTTGCTCTGTCATAAGTACAGGACTGCACAACGTCTGCTCCAAAAGGCATTGCAGCAGATTAGAATTTGTTTCTACTGTAAGTTTATAAGCCGAATTTTGGAATCATTTTTTTCACAGCGCATAAAAAAAACGTATAAAAAGTGTAGTCGTAAAATGAACAGCCACCAAATGTGTAATTATGTTTTCATCTCAAAGCCATTTTCAAAACCAGCAGCTTTATGGAACGGAATAGTTCTATGCATTATCATAAACACAATGTTTTAAAAGATACATGTGAAAGTATTAAATATCTGGTGCTGAACAGTGATCACACTCAAGATCATTACTAACTGGACTTTATTTAGTTCTTTATTTAGTTATAGTGGTTAGAGGTGGAACTGTCTGTGTCACACTAGGGGATGCTGAGAGACAGAGGCTAGATGGAGACATTTCAGGTCAACTGCCACCAGAGTCTTGTTCAGTGAGTGGGCACAGCACAGGGAAAGAATTGTTTGGAAATGGGGGAGGTACAAACTGAACTTGTCCAGTAAGAACACTCATTGTTGCTGTCCGTATCAAAGGGTTTTGCTACGTTTTGCTCTACCTCCCAGGAGTTGTTCTCACCTGGTTCTCTCGTCTCAGTTGGGTACACTTCTCTTTCTCCTGCTCACACTCTTTATGCAGGCTCTCCTTCTCCTCCTCTAGCTGGTCCTTCTCCTTCTGCAGGAGGCTCATGGTCCGAACCATCTCCTCCTTCTCCTCCTCTAGCTGGGCCTTCTCATTCTGCAGGAGGCTCATGGTCCGAACCATCTCCTCCTTCTCCTCCTCTAGCTGGGCCTTCTCATTCTGCACGAGGCTCATGGTCCGAACCATTTCCTCCTTCTCTCTGTGGGCCTCTTCCATCTTTTGCTGCAGGGACAAAGAGAAAGCATTGAGGTGTGTGTGTGTGTGTATTCATGCTTGTGCGTGTGTATGTGTGTATGTGTGTGTATCAGTGCAGAGCCTGGCTCGCTCTCTGACGTACCTCCAGGTATCCGGTCCTGGTTGTCACCACCAGGATGTCCGAGTTGCACTCATCCTCCACGGTCAGCAGCTCGTCCTCTGAGGGGCTTTGAGCCCGGAACAGGAAGGGTGTGCTGGCCCCCCGGATCTCCCCCTTGTGGGTCACATAGCAGAACTGGTAGAACTCCCCATCATCGTTGGGCACGTAGTATCCTGAGGAAGGAACAGAACAGACAACATCAGAAAGAGTCTAGGGCTACGGGCTCTTTCTGGACAGGGCCTAGGTATCTAGGGTCATATCAGGTAGCAGGTAGCCTAGCGGTTAAGACCGGTGGGCCAGTAACTGAAAGGTTGCTGGTTCGAATCCCCAAGACGACTAGGTGAAAAATCTGTTGATATGCCCTTGAGCAAGGCACTTAACCCTAATTGCTCTGGATAAAAGCATCTGCTAATTGACTAAAATGTACATGTAAACATCAAGCCTCTCAGAGTAGGAGAGCTGAACTAGGATCAGGTCCCCCCCTGTCCACAAAATTTTAATTGTGATGTAAAACAAAACAAATGCTCAGGATCTCAGTTTCAACCTTTAGCAATCAGAGCCCTTCTCTGGCTCCAGTCCTAGGCTAGCTATTAATAAAGAACACAATGAAAACTATCTTGTTAACACCAAACAAGATATCCCTTAAATGGGTAGAGTTTCATATTTTACTGTGTTGGTATAAAAGTCTTAACAGCCCTCTGAGGGGCCAGGCCTCTTGACATGAGGTTAGAAAAAGTGTAAAAGTTCCATAAAACCACGGCGCGTTCAGTGGGCCCAAATCACACCTTGAAACACCAGCGCTCTGTGGATGGCAGTGCCCTCTGTGTGGTTCTCAGGAACAGGACACCACAAGAACGTGTAATAGTCCCTCGCTGTGCTCCATCCAACCTGCAACACAGAGGGTGGGGGGGGGGGCGTTAAAGGTGGAAATACAACGCACCAGGTTGCACCCAAAACGGCACCCTATTCACTACATAGTGCACTACACAATATATAGGGAATAGGGTACCATTTGGGACATAATTCCAGTAATAATTGAGCAAGTTAGCAGACAGAAAAACCACCCAAAGTTGTGAAACAGTATCCTACCTACACATGACACAGTGGCAGCCACACTGTGGAACGCACAGCAATGTTGAAACGTTGGTGTTTTACCCAATAAATTACTGGGAGTATAGATAGAGAGATACTCCATTTTTATAGCTTTCAGTTTATTCTCCGTTAGGTCACAATATGGACCATGATCATGAAAACCCTTTGTAATATAAACACCTCTTAGGCTAGGTTATATTAAGGTTTTAGATGTGAAAAAGGGGTTCGTTTCAACATTCCCATATTCCTGCGTGCCACGTGTCGTATATATGGCCTATAACGAGGCCCGGCCTCGTCAACATGCTCCGCTGCAGAACAGCGGCAACAGCTCACCTCCAACAGGAAGGGGGAAATAGGTGAAAATGATATACTTCAAAATGGAAACCAACATGTAATTATATTAATTTTATGTGTTGTTAACTGATGGCTGGTGAGGGGGAGTACAGAAAATACATCCAGAAGGCCATAAAACTGTCAAACAAAATCAGGATCCCAGTGCTGGCTGGGGTTACAGGTCTAGGCTACAGGCTCAGTGCTGGCCTGGTCGGTCCAACTACGATACACACAACACCAAAACAAGCCTGGTCGGTCCAACTACGATACACACAACACCAAAACAAGCCTGGTCGGTCCAACTACGATACACACAACACCAAAACAGGCCTGGTCGGTCCAACTACGATACACACAACACCAAAACAAGCCTGGTCGGTCCAACTACGATACACACAACACCAAAACAAGCCTGGTCGGTCCAACTACGATACACACAACACCAAAACGAGCCTGGTCGGTCCAACTACGATACACACAACACCAAAACAAGCCTGGTCGGTCCAACTACGATACACACAACACCAAAACGAGCCTGGTCGGTCCAACTACGATACACACAACACCAAAACGAGCCTGGTCGGTCCAACTACGATACACACAACACCAAAACAAGCCTGGTCGGTCCAACTATGATACACACAACACCAAAACAAGCCTGGTCGGTCCAACTACGATACACACAACACCAAAACAAGCCTGGTCGGTCCAACTACGATACACACAACACCAAAACTTTGATCTAACCTATGAGACTTTATGCGAAATCAAATCTCTCCCTATGACACACATTCTCTCACCCACACAGTTTGTTTACATATGGTCAGCGTGAAGCAGCACTGTTGCCACTTGACAGTCTGTCTCACTCCTCACATCGTCTGACCAGCTTGTTTTCCCCACTACTGCATCATCGCTGTGTGTGTGTGGTGTGTTGCAGATGATCCTGTGCTACGCTACAATGGTGCCAGTGTTGTTGAGAATCCCCTGGGTAGTTGTCCCGGGGAGGCGTTCCCACTTCCAGCAGTAAAGAACAGGAAGCTATTAAAGCAGGCACATAGTTAGTGACTGTCATTACAGAATGAAGGAAGGCTAGTAGCAGTAGGCGTTACTGCAGCAACACTCATTAGTGGTGAGAGAGGTGAGAGTCAGGGGCTGACTAAAGCACCTTTCCCATGGACCAGAGGGCCTAGCCTGCCCTGTAAACAGCCACACTGACAACCAGGAGAGGAGTGGACACAGTGTGCATACCTGGGTCTAATCATGCTGGATAAGCTTCATCCAACAGGTCTATTGGCTGGATAGGCTATCCTGTTGGATACAGGTCTATTGGCTGGATAGGCTATCCTGTTGGATACAGGTCTATTGGCTGGATAGGCTATCCTGTTGGATACAGGTCTATTGGCTGGATAGGCTATCCTGTTGGATACAGGTCTATTGGCTGGATAGGCTATCCTGTTGGATACAGGTCTATTGGCTGGATAGGCTATCCTGTTGGATACAGGTCTATTGGCTGGATAGGCTATCCTGTTGGATACAGGTCTATTGGCTGGATAGGCTATCCTGTTGGATACAGGTCTATTGGCTGGATAGGCTATCCTGTTGGATACAGGTCTATTGGCTGGATAGGCTATCCTGTTGGATACAGGTCTATTGGCTGGATAGGTTGGGATAACAATAGCGTGCACAAAAGTGAGAATCTTGAGTTCCCGAAAACAACAGACCAAAAACCATTTAGCTAATCCAGGATCTAGCCTAATTATACCCTTTTCGCATGCAAAGCACATTCTTAGAAGAAAAAAAACATCTGTGCCAACATGCTTAAAATACTTTGCTAACATTCCCATAAGACGTAATGCCAGCACACTGTTCTTCAGCAAGCTGCTGGTTAGGGACTAGTAGCTAGCATAGTAAGCTGCAGGTTAGGGACTAGTAGCTAGCATAGTAAGCTGCAGGTTAGGGACTAGTAGCTAGCATAGTAAGCTGCAGGTTAGGGACTAGTAGCTAGCATAGTAAACTGCAGGTTAGGGACTAGTAGCTAGCATAGTAAGCTGCAGGTTGGGGACTAGTAGCTAGCATAGTAAACTGCAGGTTGGGGACTAGTAGCTAGCATAGTAAGCTGCAGGTTGGGGACTAGTAGCTAGCATAGTAAGCTGCAGGTTGGGGACTAGTAGCTAGCATAATAAACTGAAGGTTAGGGACTAGTAGCTAGCATAGTAAGCTGCAAGTTAGGGACTAGTAGCTAGCATAGTAAACCGCAGGTTAGGGACTAGTAGCTAGCATAGTAAACCGCAGGTTAGGGACTAGTAGCTAGCATAGTAAACTGCAGGTTAGGGACTGGTAGCTAGCATAGTAAACTGCAGGTTAGGGACTAGTAGCTAGCATAGTAAGCTGCAGGTTGGGGACTAGTAGCTAGCATAGTAAACCGCAGGTTAGGGACTAGTAGCTAGCATAGTAAGCTGCAGGTTAGGTACTAGTAGCTAGCATAGTAAGCTGCACGTTAGGGACTAGTCGTTAGCATAGTAAGCTGCAGGTTAGGGACTAGTAGCTAGCATAGTAAACTGCAGGTTAGGGACTAGTAGCTAGCATCGTAAGCTGCAGGTTGG